CTTATTTATTGTTTTATAATGCTCTGTATCTGGTTTTAAATTGAATACAATATTATAGCTCTGTTGGTGCACAAAAGTAGGGAGTATAACCCCATTTCATTTCATTTCATTTCAATAAATGAAATCTGATACACTGTACATCTAATGAAATTTATTATCATATCAAAACATTCAACCAAAAATTATTACTCTTTATAATAAATGAATTATGTGAGTGAAAAATTGAATTGCTCTCCCAGCAAGCAATTAAATGAAAATATCACTCTGTACAGTAGAAACAAAAAGAAGGGGTTAAACAGCATTTTAAATAATTAAATAATATATTTTGCTTTTTGGTTAGATTTTGTGGAGAATGATAATAAGATAAACAATCAGTGAACATTAATTCCCTTTCAAATTATGAACAATACACCATGAATGTGATGTCTGAGTGTCATTCTACTTTCTTAATGAAGAGAAACAGAATTTGTGAAATTTGATTATTTCACTCAAAAATTGACAAAACAGTAATACCTTATTGTTAACCATCAAATTAGTATAAAAATGACTGGGGGGAAATCTGACATTTTAAACTAGTTAAAGATAAGTTGCCAGGCAATAAAACTTAAGCCTACAGCAGCTAAGTTGTATCAGAAGTCCACGAAGGTTGTGGAATTGTGAATCTTTATGTAAATTAAATGCAAAATCCTTATACTGTATGATATCACTGGTGCGTTGACAAGATTATATGACATAATCAAGTGAAATAACTAAATACCGGTAAGTAATTATTATAAATCGTTGAAATTTGATAGAATTCTTCATTTCAATAGTCTGAACAATAAATCTCACTAAATTTTACAAAGTGAACAATTGAAATCATTGGAATTCAAGAAGATTTTTCATTGCTCTAATCTAAACAATGTGTGTGAATTTTAAACAGGATGATATTTTTTGTCAGTAGCGAGTTCACAAGGGCCACAGCCAAAATTTGATATTCTTTTTCATTTCACAGCTAACCTTGAATTCCAAACAGATTGGATGACAACTTTTGTTCTTGGATCGTCCAGGATTAAAGGGAAAAACTCTATAGACTTTGTTATCAGAAATCATCATCTTATTAATGTTAACATCATATAAAAATTTTAAAAGATTAGATGATAAATAGTCTGTACAGTTTTCACAAGAAATTGTGGACTACATACAGAAAGGCTGATGGAGGTGGGGTGACAACAATATACTAAAATATTTCAGATATTCTGGGTGATGATTGAAAAAATGTCTTATGTGTACTGGTCTACAATCATTACAGTATTGTTATACTGTGGACGACAGACCAAGAGGCCAAATATTTCAGTGAATCTGTGTGATGACTGAAAAATCATCTTATATGTGTACCAGTCTACAATCACTACAGTATTGTAATATTTGGGTTTTTTGGTTTTTTTGTTTAAGTATATAACGAGAGAGAGAAAAGAGAAAGACAGAGAGAGGGTCATTTCAGTTTCAGGACTAAAATACAGGTCAATTTTATTTCAATAATTCACTGGCATGTAGCAGTGAGAGGAAACCAGTGAGAGAATTAAAACCAGAGAAAGGTGACACAATGTCACATACAAGCTGGGAATCAAAATCCCGCCACTTGACTCAATGACTGATGCACACACTCTAGACATTCGGCCACCCAACCCTCCTTAAATTAATAAAACAAAGATAGGTTGCCAGGCAACGAAACATACGCCCACAACAGCTAAATCGTCCGAGCGGTCAACAAGGCTTGTCGCATATTTATTCCTTTGTAGGTAATTGGGGGCCTTTACAAGACTGTTCCATACAGATCAGATTATAATTTTTGCCGTTTCTACAAACTGAAACAAGGGTCACAACTCTGGAAGTAATCTACAGAAATTATTAAAATTTGACAGGCTTTTTCGTTTTACTAATTTAAATAATGCATATAAATTTCATACAGATTAGATGATCACTTTTGTAATTCAAACGTTCACAAGGTTCACAACCACCATAACTCTTGAAATTATTGACGGAAATTGCTGAAATTCAATAGACCTCTGTTTCACAAATCTAAATGATGCATATAAATTTCATACATATCGGATGATAACTTTCATCAATCAAGCATTAACAAGGTTGAACAAAGTGAATAACTCTAGAAGTAATAAATGGAAATTGCTGAAATCCAATAGGATTCTTCTCTTTACTAATCTAAATGACGCATGTAAATTTCATACAGATCGGCAGATAACTTTTGATGTTAAGAGTGTTCACAAGGTTCAATAAAGTGAAACAAGGGTCATCACTCTAGACATAATAAACAGAAATTGCTGAAATTCAATAAGCTTCTTCGTTTCACTAATTTAAATAATGCATATAAATTTCATACAGATTGGATGATAACTTTTGGCGTTAGATTGTTCTCAAGGTTCAATAAAGTGAAACAAGGTCCATAACTCTTAGACGTAATGAACAGAAATTATTGAAATTAAATAGGATTCTTCGTTTCACTAATATAGATCATGCATATAAATTTCACAAAGATTGGGTGATAACTTTTGGCGTTAGAGCACTGACAAGGTTCAAAAAGTGAAACAAGGGCCATAACTCTAGACGTAATAATCGGAAATTATTGAAATTAAATTGGCTTCTTCATCTCAATAATGTAAACAACATATATCAATTTTAAAACAACTGGATGATAACTTTTGGCGTTAGAGCGTTCACAAGAAATTGTGGACGACGGACAGGCGGACGCGACGGCAATATACGTGCACATTTCTATGTGGGCGTATGAAAACATACTGTAATCCATCACAAATTTTGATCTAGAAAGACTTAAGAACTTATTGAGCATTTAACATAACTCTTTGTCCTTTATGATTACAGAGGTTAACTGGGATGGTATGTTAGTGACAGACAATGGGTTTCCAAAAATAGTATATAATAAATTAATTACTGTCTGAGCCAACTATCGGTTCTTCTGATGTTCCCTAACTATAAATCTTAAAGTCTTGGAATCTAATTATAACAATAATGTGGATTTCTCAATGAACAATTGTATCTGGTGTCTTAAGGTGGTTTTGGTCAACATTGCAACAAAAAGCAACTAGTTCCCATCATGTGTGCTTTTGTTGATCATATCAGCAACTGAGGAAAACTGAGAGCAACTGAATTCGGAGCTAACTCACTTCAATAAATTATAATTTGAAACTCAAATTAATATATTTTCTGTGACTTTTTTGGAAAGGATATAAATTAATGCTTATAGAACATGTCCTATAATAAATTTTGGTAGTTGAATTATACAAATAGACATTCTATTAAGGGAGTTATGACTAGATTAGAAAAACATGTTTTTCTGTCAAATTTTCAGAATCACGGTAGACATGCGCATCAAAAGCACTGAAAACTTACACAATAAAAATGTGATCTTTAGAAATATTATATTACTTTTCAATGTGCAATTCTAAAATCTAAAATATTTTTCATTCATTTGAATTTGAAGTTAATTTTTTCACTTTTTAAAGGTTACGGACACTACATGTTTAGTGTCCATAACCAATAAGTGACCATACAGTGACCCATACTTAAAAAGCTTCACAAAAGTATATTTGTAACAGCTGCTAAAGAGAAAAAAGTATAAATTTTAATGACCAAAATATTGAACTATTGATACTTAGAATTGCAAGGCAATTAGCCATTTGTTTATCTACAAATCATCTGTTCCAGTTTGTATCTAAACCCACAGGAAAGTGCTCCAAATCTCATCTACGGAGATGTCATTTTCAAAATTTTCTGACTGGAACTAGTTGCTTAGGTCGACTTTTTACAATTGCATTCAGTTGCATTATTCATCACATTAGTAAAATGTACAGCTAAATAATAGTTTATTGTAAAAAGTGCCGACTATTCATAAGCTGAAGTGAAAGCGAAGCATAAAATCGAGTATCCAGCCTTTAAATTATCAAAATTTGTATTCAATTCAAACATCTTATACCGGTAGGCATTATTTGAAATTGAGTTTCCATAAAAAAGGCATATATAAAGCATGTTGTAGGTATGAAGGTAACTTTCGTTATCAATAAATAATTTGAAGGAGCATTAATATCATATATTGGAGGTGAATATGATTATAAATAAAGCCGGATTTAAAGTGTAGGAGCAGAAGCATTCAACAAATATACAGGGGTCATGATATCAACAACAATATGTGTAGGCCTACACATTTATCATAAGAAAGTGCTGACCCATGAAGATTCTAGTGTAGATTAAGTATGCATAGAAGTCTACTTCAGAAATATTCAAATATTTTGCTAGGTTATCACTAAATCAAAATGTTAATATAGTAAAGAAATCAAGAGATATATATTTTGATCAATTTTCACTACAAATAACAGTTATTTTTAATAAGAATTCAATCAATAATATATTTGGCTATCACAAATATATATATATATATATATCTACTTATGTAAAACATCTTCTGTTGTTCTTTTAAAACTGAACTAGGAATATAATTTTTTTTGAAAACAGACATACTAATCAGTCTTGGGCGTTTTTTTTTCACATAAAAAAATCCAACCAAAGTAAGCTTATTTCTCCATAATTTTGAGCTTTCAATTTGCCTTCTAAAATTGTAGATATCTAATTAAATTGTATGTTTAATGAAGGAAATTATTCATTTTTCGATCAGTTAAAAACGCTCATTTGATTTATTTAGGTTTTCTCTTAATCAATAAATCTATTTTTTAGATAATGAAAATTTTTTTTATAAAATATACACTATTTGAAGGTCAATATTGTAGTAATAGGTATAATAAACTGTCTAAAGTTTAAACAATATACAAGTGGATTAGTAAACAGATCCTTTAGATACTGTCATATAATAGGGATTTAACATAACTTACGTGACATACCACATGTATCCTCAGTAATTAATATAGCAACAATGTATATCATGTCCCCCCCCCTCCTTCTATATATGTTGTCTATTTTCTGTTACTTACCTCTTTTATAATAATATACTACTGCAACATGTTTAGTGTTTATAAGGTTTTCAAACTCTTCCTGGTTTTGTAGTACCATAACTTTGTTAAAATCATGTGGAATTTCTGTCAGGACATTTACTACAAGACTGGTAAAAACTACCAACACTAACCAGGAAACAATGTTCCTATCCATTATTTTTTTGTTATTTTTAACTTGTCCTCGGAAAATCCGGTATACTATTTCATTGAATATCGGCTTAGGCAAGTTCTTCTCAACTCCACACACACAACTGGCATCTGGATACGTTTATACGACTTATTTATTTCAATATTTGTGGCAAAGACACTGATAGGCCCGACCACCGTTGTTGACCTTATCTATATCCGGGTTGTATTATAATTTATTAAATGTACTGTGTTATCTTTTGTGGAGTAGTCACAGATTTAGGTCTCTCTACGCCAACACAACTGTTTCATTTTTTGACACATTCCTTTGTCATTGTTAATTGCATCCTGTTAGAAACTCTTCGTTTCTGATTATATTTCCCACATTTGTATTGATTTTATTTACCCAATTGGAATCGTCTGCTAGAAAACTGATCAAAATGGCCATTATTGATTGTTTCGGTAATTTCAATAGATTCTTACTCCGGTGGTACATACTGATAATATAATTTTACAGTCAGTTTGTTCGAAACCAGGCCTACCATTTCTAAAAAGGCCCCTTTTGAGAGACTGTTTCCATAATAAAATATGAAACCTGTTATTAAAATAGTTCAGACGAAACGTGTAAAGTTGACCGATATCAGCGAATTTTTACAGCAGATTGTGGTATAAGGGAGGTAACTTGTCTCGACGAGAAAAATATATATCCAAGGTAGACAACTCTCTTTTGAATCAGGAATCAGACTAGTAATTCTCTCTCGTGTAAATCAATATTTCTTGGGCTATAACATTTTTTTCAACGATAAAAATATTAAAAGGGGGTAACCATTTCGATTTTTTTGCTAGGCCTGTTTAAAGAAATCTATATGCATTGATGTTATTTTAGTAGGCAATTTCCTCATTTCATTTCTCTTTACTTCCTGACCCCTTTGCCTCAAAATAATGAATATTTACCAATTCATGGCAGAGAAATGTAAATATAAACACTCTTCTTTGATTCTTACGAAGGCCCATTTGTGCCAAACCAAAAAAAATATATTAATCCATTTGAACGAGTTAGTATCTTGTTTGAAAGAGTTAGTATGAGTCACACGTTGGATATGGGGAGTTTTTGGCTTATGGGCTTCCCAAATCTACCCAGCGACTCATAGAACCCATAGTGTTACATATATAACATTGGTGTCCAAAAGAAAAATCTGCAATAGGCAGATTTAGCTCTTACAAAATGCATCTTTAACTATTCCCTGAACAAACCCATGCTCCATTTTACTACCAAATGATTTCTGATCAGCCCAATCTACTTATTGATCTTAATCAGACAAACGCTAGAGAAAAATCAGTCTGCTAATGCACAAAAGAAAACTAAAATTACATTCTTGGGAAGAATTTATTTACTTCATTATCAATATTTTCTGAGTTAAAACAAATATACATTAGACAAAATTATACAAGAATAGACTACATGTCCATAATTACAGAAACATGATAGACAAGTGTAAATAAACAGAATTCTATTTATTATATCATGTCATGAACATTTTATAGAATTACAGAAATACAGCTGTTTGGTCTCTACCTAATTATGCTTAAAATAGCTGCAAGTGCAATATAGAAAAACAAAATTAAATCTTTATTAATAAAGATACAAATCCACAAAAAACAATATCAAAAATTCTATACCATAAAGTGTATGGCTTAGCCTAGCTATAAAATATAACTTTTGTTATAAACAAAACCTGTGTTGCACATAAAATAGCATGAAATAATTGCTTAATACACATTCACTATTATGTTGCTTCAGACTAAAAATATATCGGTTAACTAACATAAATAAAGACATCACAGAAAAAAAAAAAAATTTGAGCAAGCGCACTAAATACAAAATATGCACATAAAACATTACAGCTTCAAAAGCATTATAAATAGATAGAAATAAAATTGTGAGTATTTACAGAATACCTAATAAAAGACTAGTTTAAACCAAAATCATCAAGAAATATTTTTTACAAAAATGTTCTATTTGCATTTTGTGATTTGAATTCTTTTATTTCAATTTATTCCAAATTTGGAGATAAGAGTTATACAATGATTTGTATAAACAGTCATATTAAACATACAAAAATAAAAATCTGATATATAATATTTTATACAAACAATGCTCATATTAATTATTTCCCTTCTCAAACTTTTCTTTTTCAGTCATCAACAACAGTTGCATATTATTTGTAAAATACTTAAACTTACAGATTATTATTATTATTATACCAAAAGAATATTAACAAAATTGTTTATTAAAGAAAACCTATAAATAATTCAAGATAATCAATGTCTATGTTATTGTATAAAACTACTTTGAATATGGCAGTAATAAAAGTTGAATGTCATTGAATAAACACACAGTTTCTCAGTTAAATGGAAACACATAGCAGTTGTATATCATTATCTCCACATACGATATAATGTGGGTGGCTGTAAAACTGTAACCGGTACTAAGCAAATACTGTAACATTAATTGAAATTTTTCAGATTGTGATTGCGTCAATCAAATAGAGTCTAATACTAATATATTAACGAGTACAACTAAAATATGTTTGCAAAGAGACTGAAATTTGTTTTTATTTAAATATTTGAAGAATCAATTATGTAAAGAAATTGGCTATCTGAATTCTGAATATAGGCTATAATCTCCACAAAGTGCCAATTGGCTGGATGTTATTTGAATATATCTATTACACAAACCCATGCGTATATAAACAAATAATACTTAAATTACAATTATAGTAAATATATGATCGCCATTCAAGTAAAAAAAACAAATAATAAGGTTATAGGCTGACTAGTCCAAGTTTTAACAATTTTTTTTGTGTATTGTAGTATATATATACACTTTCAAAATAATCCCCTGATTGCGTAATCCAAAACATGAATAAATATGGAGATATATGATTTATAACAATAACAGCACTAGATGACTTAAATGATGGTTATTATAGTAAAGTATTAAATATGGAGGGGGAAAAATTCAAGTAATATATGAAATAGTACATGTATATTTCAATCCATTTCCCGAAATAGATTCTATGTGGTTAGAAGTTAAGATTACAAAATCTAAAGTTTGAAAAAAAAAAAATGAGAAAGTTTTTTAAGATTGTCAAATTCTATGATTACTGTGATATAATTCTGTCTGGCATAAACAGATCTGTAATATGCAATTATCAACTTTAGACTTAGATTAATTCCCACTGCATAATTGCCATGTCACGACCTCCAGCTGTTATCAATCTTGAATCATCAAACAGGAAGTTGACGGCAGTCACATGGCTACTATGTGCTTTATAACTATGACAGGAAGACTGAAATAAAACAAAAGCATTTTGTATGAATTTTGATGAAAGCCAACGATATAACATTACTTATAATAGGAACAATGGGGGACTCAATCCTGAGTTGTCAACTGCTTGAAAAATACATGTAACTTATCGCTATTGGGATTATTTATCATTATCTATTAAAAAACAGAAACCAGGTGTACCTTCGTCTTCAAGTTTGCTCATCCTAGTTTTCGTATCATTGTAAAACATTTCAAAATACAAAGAAATAAAATGAAATACATACCCTAGGTTTACAACAAGGATACTTATACAAATTAACTTTTCCAAAATCGTCTCCAGATGCAATAACGGTGTGGTTTTTTGTTCGTCCACATGTATTTACATCTGTTCCATCAGCACCTTCTGGCCATATTCCTACAAGTAAAAACAATACTCATATCTGAATCTGTTGAAAATATATCCATGTCATCATAAATCTGGAATAAAACTATACAAATAATAAACTTGTATAAGTTTATTCAGAGTCTAATCATGTAAAACAATGGTTTCTTATTTAATAAAATTACAAGAAGCCATTGCATGCTAGACTAGAGTAGGATAGTCTGGTTGCATTAACTTAAATATGCATCTATGTTCCTTATCTTAGAATATTTGACAACATTAAGGTACTCTCCTTTCCACACTTGTTTACCTAAATATCTGCTTTTCTAAGAAATGTATGCATATTTGTTCTACCTTTATGGTAGTTGATATTTGTATGATAACCATATCTTACCTGCTACATTAAAACCTAATGTACATGTTTGTGTTGCCCACTGAACATTTCTAACATTATCTGGTGATGTAACTTGTCTACAGTTTGTTGTCCCTGTATAAAAAAACATGCAAATTTATTCAGCTATTACTCTAGATAATTTTATTGATTTAAATGTACGCAAATACAAAATTATTATTAATTTACATAAGAAATAATGACTGAAAAGTGTTATTTATATAATGTCAAGACCTTGCTGTTAGTAGATACTGCTTGACAGCTTGAAAATAATAGAAACAAAGTAAACTTGATTTGAATAATTTTTGGAAAGATGTGAAATTTTGATAAAGTACATGGTCTTAAACTCAATCTTTGCTTATAAAATTTAATAAATGAAAGACTCAACTTACAATATAATACTTCGTAATCACCCGAATTACTGACCAAATACTGACCATCTTCTGACCAATCAACATGTGTTATAAAACTTGAGTGACCCTGTAATAAGAAACAACAATATTTTAATATTCATCAATGTCGCAGAAACAGTTTTATCTGCATCAAAAAGACAAATATTGTTATTTTATTTTTGTGTAAATCTTTATTCTACATATGCAATCATTTGTTTAATGTCACAAGTTTCTTGTAATCAGATACTTAAATCTCTAGGATTTATATTAAGAAAATACTGTAAAATGTTGGATATCTAGAAGCTTAAACATGCATTATGCAAGAGCTAAATCTGCCTATTGCAGGTCTTTTTTTTTGGCCTGAAATGTTATCTAAATTATCAAGACCATAATCAACTCTCGATGCCATCGATAGCCTGTAATATTTTGTGGTAGTAATGACGATCCAGACTAGGCTAAAATTTAATCACTAATATCTTGGTTCAGAGTGAAGCTATTTGACTGAAATTTTCAGCATATTGTGTTTCTATTATCTATTTTTTTAACTATTATTTCGAGTACTGTCAGCTCTTTATCTAATCTTATATAATGCCTCTTTAATGTATTATAATTATATAATAAATACTTACAGAGCATCTACCAACTTTGGTATATTTAGTTCCTCCATCACTAACTTGATATAAATAAATATAATTATCTCTTGATCCAACAGCTAAATATTTACCATCTGTTAATAAAAACAATATTACACAATGATGTAACAATAAATAAATGATTAATAAATGATGCCAAAGAAAAAACAAAAAATCTTCAACAAATATCAGCAAATACTAAAACCAATGGCAGAGATTTTGAAGTAATAAACATAATTCCAGTCATTATGGCTTACAATTTATAGCTATGAATAAAAAATGAAACCAACCCTTTCACTTTTCATGGGAATGACCATATCCATGGAATTGATTTGATAATGCTTTTATGACTTAGTATGTCTATGTTTTTGGTCTTGTCTGGCTTCTAGCTCCTGCACTTACCATAAGTAAAAATTTTAAACATTGTTGTATGAACTTACCAGGAGAAAATTGCAAACATTCAATCTGCTCATTACCATCTGTATGAGCTGTAATGATGTCATGAGTATTCAGATCTATCACCAACCAACGTGCGTTATGTGTTCCAACAACTGCTATATTCCCTTCTGGATGGAAACAACAACTGTGGGCTGGATCCTGTAATGCACAAATATTTAATTTTAGAATTACCAAGCCAACAGTGAGACTGATGTCTCCCAGACCTAATCTCAAAACAAATATATCAAACATGCACATTTATCCTTTTATAAAGCATTGAACAATCAAGTTGTGTAGAGTTATTGATTTCCAAAATCCTAACCTATCAAATTGTTTATTGTGTGAATGACGGACAGCTCATTGCATATGCAAGTAATGCCCATCATAAAGCTTTGTTAAGACTTTCACCTAACGAACATCTACACCATGTTTGATGAGGTCGTTAAGCCCCACAAGTGAACAAACAAACCAACGAAGTTTCAATATTCTACCTCAATGATTAGCAGAGTTATTGTGTTCAACCAAAAAGTGAGATACAGACGGATGAACACGACAGATACACTTTTTCGGCTAAATACAATATATTGTTTCTTACCGTTATTTCTTTACTCCACACTACAGAGTGTGACATACTGTCCCATAAATAAACATGTTTATCAGATCCACATGACATAAACTGATGCTGGGATGGATGGGGTGCCAGACCCCATAGTTCATCAAGATGACCCTATAAAGTATTTTAAAATAATTAATATGGATCCTCAATTAATTCAGAAACTACTTTGTATGATCAATGCTAAATGAAATTTCATCAATTGTTCCAGGAATGATGTTTGAATTGTGAGATTTTTGATGCCATAACGAAATACAAGTTGGTTTTTCCTGGATATAACAGTCAAATAAAAGTGGGAGCAAAATAAATGTAACTGCAAGAATTATTTGTTTTGCGAAATTACTGCAAATGTACTGATGTGTACAAAGCGTGACAACATATTACATAAAACTTTATAGAAAACAATAATGTTCCATAATGGTCTGTGTTTTATCTAATATGACCAATTACTTAAATGCCACTTGAACAACTTGTGAAATAACATTGCTTCTACTATAGTTCTAAACTTGCATCTTGAATCCAAATTCTACATAAAATTGAGCACAAAGGAGTCATTAAGAATTTGTAAAACATAACTTTATTGCTTTCTACACAGCAATAACAACACTCAGTGACTAAAACCTTCTCAATATCATCAATTTCCAATATATAAAACCGCTAACAATGGTCTGTTCATTTTAAAACTCAATTTTTTTAAATCCTAACAGTTTTCAACCCCTTTATTAACATACAAGCATGTTACTTGCCTTAGAAAAACAAGTATTTGGCTGAGAAAAGTGTATGTATTTGTAAAAATATAGGGTACCACTAATGAAAACTGAAATGGGGTTCAACGTCCTACTTACCAATATTGCAGATATGTGCAGATGTGCATATATAAATAATTGCATAAAATGGTAGAATTTGGTGGTGTGAAAAGGGGAAGAAAAAATAAAAATCTAAGTCCACTTATAACAGTCAGAAATTATAAATAAATTTCAACCTAAAACCAAAGTTGATATCTAAAGGAAACAAGTCCCAAGGATCTTAATAGCACAACGGCTAAAAGTATGTGTGCATTGAAGATTTTACTAAGTGAAAATACGATTTGTCAATTGGTGGGAATTTTATGAAATAGGCAATGATCAATGTGTGTCGCCAATTTGATTTGATAACTTCCAAAAAATAAAAGTTTAAATTAAACTTCACTACTCATTAAAAATATGTTCACCTGATCTGTACAGCTAAGACAATGATTCTATGAAAATATATAATTTCTATATTATAAGCTAGTTTCATATGTATCTTTATAATAGAATCCTATGAGAGCAATTTTCCTATGAGCCAATTCTGAATGTGGAACAATGTTCAACTCGATATATAATATTCAAAACAGGGAGATTATTCTAAGCTTTATAATTCATAAAAATATCTAAAACTCTCCTCTCTTTTTAAGGAAAAAAAAGGGGTGGTTTATTCTGCAATTACAATTCATCTGCAACGGAAATATTACTGTTAAGGCTCAACCGAGCAAAATATGAGATGAATTGCAGATGATCAGTCTGCACTAACACATGGGGCATGTAGAATGTGACCATATTGGCTATAACAATACAAATATACAGTACATGCAAGCATGCCCACAGATTATATATATCAATTCATATTTAGGATATTGATAATAAAATATATATAACTTACATAAACAATAGGATTAAGTTTAAGATCTAGAGTTCCTTGTAAAATTGAGTTTCTGGTTGTTCCAACTAAAATCAGATTTCCATGACCTTGACTCAGGGTTCGAACAGGACCAAACTCCTCTGATATCTAGAAATAAAAAAACAAACACTATTCTAGAAACCTTAGGTATATATTATGATAATCAATTAACCAGTAATCACGCCAACAGTTAAGTTTTCATTATCTATTCTCATTTTTTTTCAAACACAACCAAATTTAACTTCTTACTAATCTTAAATGTGAGACAATTTTACAAACAAAATTTTTTTTGATATAAAAACTCACTTCTGTTTCTAATCCAGTTCTCTTATAATTCTCATCAAACTGGTACACTTTTCTATCTTTACCACCACCAGACAGAATAGTTCCATCCTTCATTACACAAAGGGAGAAAACTCCACCATCGTGTGCACCATTAACAGCATGAGAAATTCGGTTTGTGCCTACAAACAAGACAAAAAATAATACCAAAGTAGTTATGATCAACATTTGTCGATGCCAATAGTATAAAATATTAAAGTCATGGATCTTGATTGGGGTCTCTTCCTTCAACCTGTGGATGTTCATAATAAAGTTTATCTGTCAAGGAGTGGAAAGTGCAAAACATTTGAAAATTTAAGCAAAATAAACCTATACCTGTCTGCTGAGGATGCCGAATGTTGTGAAATTCAAAATATTTTTGTAAATACTGAACAAAAATAAAACAGTCCTTTTAGAATATTCTAAATGAAATGATATGAGCCACTGACAAACTATGCGAGAAAATCCTGAGGAACTTTCGTTGCCAACACCAGGATTGAATCAAACCTGTAACCTCCAGGTTAGTCTTCAAGCACCTACTCGCTGAGCCACTTGGGCTCCCTTTAGAATATGTAGTTGGTGAGGGATTACATATGCTCAAATGATGATCAGCAGCATTAAATAACTACCTTCATTTTTATAGATAGATATACATTAAAACATTTTTTATGCACGTACCTCTTCCCCACACAAAAATATTTCCATTTGAATCACCTGACAGGACATCCCCATTTTCAGCAAAAGCTAAACACAACACAAATTTGGGTTTCTCCATTTTCTGTTGGAAATAGAATATTTTTTTATATTAGAATCAAATTTCTATGTCGTTAGTACAAATTTCACAACCTGCTCTGTAATGCCGTTACATTTGACTATTCTGTGTGTAGATCCTCAGACAAAAATTTCAAGAATGCTAATACTTTTAACAGTATCTTACTGATAATTCTTTCTATCACATTAAAATACCTCATATATTCCCTGCTTCTTTGTCAATGTTCCACTTTCTAATGTCCAAAATGATATCTGTCCTTTACCACACATTACTATCTGGTTGTTTTCATACGGATGATATTCTGCGGCCAGCACAGGTTCAGTTGAACTCTAAAATAATAAAAATTGGGGATCAAAATATGTGTAGCTTCAAATTACTTTGTAGACCCATTTTCAGCTTAATTTCAGTAAATTCCACCAAATCTTATATAACTTCCGATATATTTGTTGGAATGATGTTCTTAGTACGCAAGACTACTTGTATGTCCTATTCCATCAACCTCCATGAAGAAATTAATTGATGTATTTTCTACAGAATAGAATAAACTAACATCTGAAGCCGACACTGGTCAATAATAATAATATCAAGTTAAGACCAGTTTTACGTTTCCAAATCAGAAATAAATCTTCAAGAACAAGAATTAGGATGCCAACTTTCTGGAAATAAACGTATATGTATTCTTACCTTAGTTTCCGTTACTTTATGTGGTTTATCACGACTAATATCCCACACAGATATCACATGTTCATTAGCATCATCAACACAAACCAACTGTTGTCCTCCATCCTATTCAAATACACAAACATAAGGTTATACAACATCAGCTGTAATATCATTAAAGAACATCTTTATATTTTGTCTACTTTGGGTTTCTTTTATGTATTGCTTTAAAATTAAATTTTGGTGCAGAATGTCAGGGCCATGCCTTTCAATTCAAAATTTTGCCAGCTGGTAGATTTTGAAATATTTTGTTTACCTCAGGTTAACAAGATATCTTTTCAAAAGAATATGACAACTTTTAGCATTATCCACTTTGAATATATCTTTTTAACTGATACACATAAAAACCATCAAATTTGCAGTATTTATTGTTTGAAATTCTAATTATCTGATATTTTTAAGTGATACATATAAAAGCTATCAAATTAATGGTATTTCTTTGAAATTCTAATTTTTGATATTTTTAAAGGAAACACATAAATTCTATCAAATTAACAGTATATATTGTTTGAAATTCTAAGTGATACACATAAAAAGTAAAAACTATCAAATTAATGGTATTTATTGTCTGAAATTCTAATTTTATGCATGTAAACTGACTGACAGGTAAATTCTACAATTTATCTGCCAGTCAATCAAGCAATAGCCATGGTCAGGACAAATAAATGGCTGATTTTGCCATAAAAATTTAATCTTTAAAATTCCATACTTACCAGCTTTGAGAAGGATACACAACAGACAGCTCTTTCAAAATCTCCTAATCCAATGATATGTAATGTGTTCAGACTAACAGAATCCCAGATTCGTACATGGGGCTAAAATAATAAAAGAGTACAAAAATAAGTAAATTCCATACAACAACACATACATATACATCAATTTTAACCATAACCATAACCATAACCAGGAATCCTTCCATTATACATAAAACAAAACAACAACCCAGAATACACACAATCATTTACAATCAGTAAAAACACAAACAAATTCACAGTTTCAGAAATAAAACATAACATTAATTGATTCCATCCCTTATACCTAAAACAAAATTATAAGCCTAAATACACACAATAACACTGAATACCAGGATTCCCAAAAAATACACTGCTGAAAACGAACATTTTAAATCAATCAAATAAAAAATGAACAACAGTTATTTTACACTTCAGGAAGTGATAATTTATAGAATCTATCCAGGGAATTGCTTTACTATTCAATTGCCAATCAATTTCAGACAGCATTGACATTTAAAACAGATAAAATCCTACAAATATTTCTCATTCTATATAGTTAAGAAATTAGCTTTAAATTATAAATTACATACAAAGCAATTCTTAAAGTATCTTGGTTATTACAAATTTTGTCTATTTTTTTTAAAAGATGAAATACAGTGTTATATGAATAATTATTAAATAATCTTTGAAAACTTATTTCAAAGTAATTCAGGGCAATCTATTTCACACGTATATATATAGGGGAAAATGTATAACTGTCACCAACTAATCTTAAAACAAATGTACAAGAAATTGTTTAAAACAAAACCGGGACAAAACATAGAATAAAACACACTTTAAAATCTTTAGAAGCTCATTCTACTATTAAAATGATGATTTTAATAAGTTGTTGTTAATGTTTTAAAATATGGTACTAAACAAGCTTACAGTTTTTTAATTAGCTTTCCTGTAATATCTCTCTTACTCCACCACTTACGTTAATAAGGGTTTTATTAAAGCTATAATTAGCAGGATTATTTATTTATTAAATAGCTGGATTATGGTAATTAATAGTTCTGTTAGTTAGTTTATAATAACAATTAGAAAACCATCCACTTTATTATCTTACCAAATGATCATCAATTTCAGCCACATCATTACGCTTATTCTGTTTGTGCATATATAATAAAATTATTGGAAGGATTTAATTTCATAACATAAACTATCAAGGCAACAATCATTAATTAGTTACTATAAATATGTAATAAGCTCTAAATATCATAGTTATTCATTAACATAATAATTATCATGTATCCTGGTTCACTTTGATTAGAACACGATTCATGAAAAATCCAAACAGAAAAATGCCATAATATTCCAATAAAAGCATAAAAAGCCTGTTTAAAATCTATGCAGTTAATATAAATCAGATAATTAAATTTGGTTTATTATGCTTTCAATACTCTCCTTATATTGATCAAAAGTGAAACTGAATCTGAACAGATTAACAAATGAATCTTTTGTTTTTTCAGTTAAATTGATTAATCTAATGCTGAGAATAAGCCAAAAAGTCTATGGAAAAATTGTACATGAACTTACCCTGCCCTCTTTTTTCTCATGACCAGCAACCTGGCCAGTTGCTATCTTAACTTTATCTGGATGTATAGCTATACTGTAAAACCACAAACATTCATATTTAATTGAAGAGGGACAATTCTTATCGAGTTAACCAAAATTTGACACATAAACAGTAACAACTTATTAAACCAAAAATTGTACCTTAAGTGTGTAATATATATATTAAATGCTCTTGCAAATTCGTCCGTAAAACTGCAGGAAACCTTTTCCATTACTACACAATTTAGAAATTATTTACTATGTGGTATCAAACTGAGAATGAAAGATGGTTAGCTTTATAATTTTGGAACATGCAGATTTCTTTAGTGAAACCCTTCAATGCAGACAGTAACTTCTTTGATCGACATTTAACATTTGACACATATAATAAACAAAAACATAATATGGAATACAATTACTATTTTAATTAAAGCACCATTTCGTTGAAGGTTCTCTCAATGTCATAAAGCAAATGACAGTAACATTAACAGTTATCAACACTGATCACCAGATTTCACAATTACATACATACCATTTAACGTCATCTGTATGTTGATTGTAATGTCTCTGCATGCCCTCTTCCACATTGTATAATACAACCGTTGCTGCTATAAAATAGATTATCTCCCCTGTTGGTAGGTGGTATAAGTTGGAGCGACAATCTCTTCCACGATATCCATATCTTACACAGTTAAAGAAAGGTATTTGAAAAAAAATGTATAAAAAAGTAATCAAAAGAAATCAATAAATTATTTTATGAAGTAGTCTGTACCTGGAACTTTCCTTCAAAAATTTTAAATAGTGAAAACTAGTTGCACAAAACTCACTTATTGCCAATGCAAGATGACCTCAATCTAGGAACGAGTTTGGTTCAGTTAAAAATTTTATTGCGTAAATGTAAACCAAATGTAATAGTTCTTTAACATTTTATTCAGGCATTCCAGGTTGAATGTCAATTATCCCTTTGGTTAACAGCTTTCTCGCAGGTTTGAAAATATTACAATATAAAGCCTCACATCTTATATTGTATTTTAATAGTAATCAAGCTTAGTCATCAAGACCATCCATGTAAAATGTATGTAGTCTTCTTATTCTTAAATTATTTTAGTAAAAAGGATACACCCATTCTAACTGCAGTTTTTCGTTAGGTGCTTCACCAACAGTACCAACATCAAAGTCTGTTAAATCTGACGGTGCATAAAGAGCTACACCTCTACCCTTTAGAAATACCTTTAGGTAACCTTCAGCTGGAAAAAAAATAAAAATAAAAATTTAAAATAAGAAATATATATATTCAATAAGCATGTCAGAAGTTGAACTTATAAGTTGAAGATATAACAAATAACATAAATGCATTCTACAATGACTCATACACTTGAATTATTTATACATGAAGATAGGAGAAAAACAAATAAAAATATAAAAAATCATAAGTGTGCAAATATATAAATTTGTACAACAAGTGATGAACCCTAGCAGGGGCATCAATCGGGGGATACAGTGGAAAGGACCCCGAACAGAGTACACAAAGAATTCACCAAGGCATCTCCTTCATAATAACGGATCAATGCCCCATGGCCATAGTGATTTGGGTCAAATACAAAAACAAACTGGAAAGTTATAAAGTAAGAAGAGTTTTTGAAAAGTGTCGTCGGTGAAGAATTGATGAAAATATGCCCTATTTTTCAACAATCTCAGAACAAATTTAGAATTTTAGTTTTAGTTGGTATTAAATTAAAATGTAGAATTCTTGTTGTTATACAAACGTTATAAATTAAGAAATGTCTTTGAAAAGAATGGTCAGTAAAAACTGAACAAATTGAATTACATTTCAACAATCTCAGAACAAAACAGAATTATAGTTTGAATTAATTTTAAATTAAAGACAATACAACTGTAAGGTATAACCAGAATAAGGTATTACCAGAGATTTGGTTTAACAATTTAATGCATAAGTAAAATAAAATCACATCTTTTAAATATTAAGAAGAAATATCATACACCCGTGCTGAAAGTGAATTATCAATGTTTTGTTGGGGTGGGGTAAGGCAAAATCTTATAACTTGCAAACCAGATCTATCTTCTGTGACTTACCAAACACTATATATGTAAGCAGAAATAAACAATATACAATATAGTACATATAACAACTACTTAATAAGAACACAATTATTCAATAGAAATAACAATTAAAGGATGCAATGGAAGCATAGTGGTGCAATATGCTACACACAATAAAATACAAAAATTCTTCTGAAGTTATTATTACATTGAAACTTTGACTTAAGTTACAATTACACTTGGGCCTCTTTCTGATGCTGTTGTTGGGGTCCACTGATATAACCTGCACTATAGAGAGTTCCCTTATACTAATACCAGCCTTATAAATTATAACAAACTGCCTCAGAATCAAGTGCCAGTATAGTAGTATATGATCAACTACAAAAAAGTTACTGAATTTGTTGACAGCTGGATCAAAATTAGTCAGACCTAAAAAATTTGCATTATTTTATGCACTCATTCTAATGGCATCCTAACACTGGTAGATCATAGATATTTTCATAATACGAATAATGTACTATCTCATATATAATACCCAAAGGCAATCATTTGTCATAACAAATTATCTGATCGCTTCATTTGCTATTACTGCTTGAATACGATTCCCGGAACTAATTAGCCTACACATCCATTTTATTATCCATGTCTTATCTCAACATCACCAATCAACTCTTGTTAATGCACAGATTCTAGATATGTAACAGTGAAATTATTCATTTTTCCTTCTGACTTCTGAACAGAGGCTTATACAATGTGCCGTGTTGCTGTATATTTTCTTTTGTAGCACTGAGCTCCAATCAGGATTCTAAATCCTGTCCTCTGTTGGCGTGATCACTTTTCAATCAGACGAAAAGGTGCTCTACTGGCTAATGCTAATAGTTTATGCATGATAACATAAGCAAAACAAAAGTATACATGTAATGTCTTCAGTTCCAAATTTAAATTGAGAATAAAACCTAACTATCCACATTATTCCCAACAAATGTCAACAGGAAAGAGAAAAGAAAAACAAATGAGTTAAAACAACTTATCAACATTATACTTTGGTCTATGGTGAGAAATTTTCTTGTTGAAAATTACTCTTTATTGAATTTCTACTATAAAGGATTCTTTTACACAAATGTGAATGTGAGTGGATCATAGTTTTTTTGTCACATCCAAATGCCCAGACACTGCTATTGACAAGAAGGAAAAGCAGAACAATTTGCATGACTGTCACTATAAGTCTTTAAGTATATGTGAGATACAATGGAATTTTAGGGTAATTTTGATCATTGGTAAATATACAGTATAATTAAATATACAAACCTTGATTCCAGTTAGGTTCTCTAGAACTGAAAATAAAAGAGGAAAAAAAGTCAGTCATTAAAATGTACATTGCCATGAAAACATCTCTGGGAAAGCAATAAAAGAATGTGATGCAAAATAAAATTGTAAAGATTACAATGCTTTAAACTTTTGACTAATTTCATGCTCAGAAAAACTACATAACACATAAGAATTGAATACATATTCTCAATATTTACTATTTTTTATTACAAAAATTCAATATAAAATAAAATTTACATTAATCATTCAATAATTCCAATTAAGAAATAACATAAAAGGAATATATGGTGGTCAAGAAAAGCATATAGGTTTGAGACAAGACTATAGGTATAGATATAAGAATAAATGCACAAACATGCATGATCGAACATGCATATGATCAATCATGCTAATGTGTGACATGAAAAACAAATGATATCTATGTAAAGTTTATTTATTGCTATTCTGAAATCAAATCTACAATGACAAATAAATAGTTTGAAAAAAAATTTAACAAAAGATTGATAATGAAAATAGATTCAAAATAAAACTTTTCTAATTAACCAGAACTAATTAAAATTTAATGCAAGCGCTATACAGTGAAAGACTAAACCGCTCTTAAAAGAAGATACAAAAGAAAGAAGAAATCTGTAAAGAAGAAAGAGTTTGTAAACATATTTCTACATTTATATAAAATGAAACTAAAAGATCATTACAATAAGTCATTTCCCCTTCCATTGAATCATTAAAACTTAAACCGAATCCTCTATCACTACATTTATATGAGAAAGTCACGCATGATCATCATATCATATATTCATCAATTCATTCTCTTCCATCAACCCAGTTCGTCAAACCAACCAAACTAAGCATATAATTCACTGAGGTAGATTGCTCTTCATGTTGAGCAAAAATACATTATGCAGGAAAGGGAAACAGTAAATTATCACTGCTTAAAGACCTGACAAATTCTACTTACAGAAAGCAAGTCAGTGCTCATGTAACGCAATTAAAAGCATACTTTCATATCTGTATTCTATTAAAAGCATGATGTGTACTTAATAGCCACAATGTGTTAATTAAATTCCATCTTCTCCAATAAAGATTCTGATGTAATTGTAAAACCAAAAGCTGTGATGAGAAATACTGAAGATTTATAATTTTGAATAATATAGCAGATCAAATATATATAATTTTGAAATAGATGGACTTTAATATGAAAAGATGATATATGATATGAAATTTTTAACATTTCACATTAACATGATATGACCATGATCGATGTTTCATGCTAAATATAATATACCCCCTATGGCTGGTAGGCCGTTGCGACAAGTTACTGTGGGAAAAACTACGTCTAAAAGAAAATACATGTGAAAAAAATCAGATTTATAATAATTATATTAACAGGTGTTGTGTACAATGCAGGGTATGACTGCTTTTTTTGAAGCATCTGAAGTCACATCTCATTTATCTGTAAAGTCCACAGGGTCAGCAAATTAATGGTGCTGTTTGTAGACAATGACAGACCTATTAAGAATCTGTAATTCACAGGTAGTGACTTTTTTGTACCCATAAGCCAAGACTAAAAAACACCTGATAATAATAGTATTCAATGTTAAGGCTACAATAAAACAAAAATTCCTCAGGCTCTATTAAATCACTGGAGAGTGACAAACTATTTGATGTTCGTTTTTAGACAACAGGGAAATAGATTGTGAACTATATACTAACTACAACATGAACACAACCAGTAAATATCACAAGGTCTTATATTCTTAACCACCTCTACAATTGACATTTCCGATGACCTAGAGAGTTGATTATGGGCTAGTTATCTGAATACATGTCTAAATAATAATTTATATAACATATGAAGCCAGAATAAAGATCTGCAAAAGGCAGATTTAGCACATTTACAATCCAGTGCAATAAATTATCAATCAACCAATGATCAACTATTACTGCCAACTTTGTATAAATACTTGTTGAACACAAATTATAGATAAATACATCAAAAACCTATATAATATGCATTATATACTATTCAAAAAAAGTAGGGGATATTTGATTTTTAAGTGTTATTAAAGTCACCTAATGAAACTGACGAAGAAACAAATGACAAAATGAAATGAAGTTCACATTCATCGATTTATTCCAAATGATCGTTAGACTAAGTAAGGCACAGACTGACCATTATAAGGGTTAAATGATACCCGGGGTCAAACAGCAAAGTTACCACAGCATCACAACCAAGTCAGTAACGGGTAAATCCTCCTCTGTTTGCCAAACAAGCATTGATCCGACGTGGCATAATCCTAATGAGACGTCTAAGGTCATTTTGGTCCAGATTGTCCCATTCCTGTTGCAACGCAGCAGCAAGTTCTTGGACATTGGCAGGACGTTGTTGACGTTGACGTAACCTCTGTCCAAGCATGTCCCAGACATGCTCGATGGGGGAGAGGGTGGGACTCAGTGCTGGCCAAGGTAATGTGGTGATGTTCTGTTGTTGGAGGTAACCTGTAACGATCCTGGCCCTGTGACATCTTGCGTTGTCATCCTGGAAGATGAAACGGCGGCCATGACGTCGTGCGAACGGCACAACATGGACTGCCAAGATGTTGTCCCGGTAGTACTGGCCTGTAACACGCCCTGCAACAACATGTAAAGCCGTTCTTCCAGCAACAGTGATGCCTCCCCACACAATAACAGAACCACCCCCAAATCGATCATGTCTGATGACGTTAACGTCTTGGAAGCGCTCGTTTCGACGACGCCACACCCTCCTACGTCTGTATAAAAAATCAACAGTGAACCTTGACTCATCTGAAAACATCACATTGCTCCAGCGTCGATTATCCCAGTGTTGGCGATCCCTACACCAACGACGTCTTGCCTGAATGTGATGATCTCTCAAACAAGGGATCACGCGAGGACGTCGGGCGCGAAGGTGACCCCTATGCAGTCGATTCCGAATCGTCTGGCCACTCACTCTCACACCAGTGTCTGTTTGAAGACGAGCGCTGATCTGATTTGCTGTGATGACACGATTTCTCAAGGCCAAGGTACGGATCAATCGATCCTGGCCTTGAGTTGTCGCCCTTGGTCGACCTGAGCGTGGTCTGTCCTGTACAGATTGTGTATCACGGTATCTGGACCATAGCCTGCTTATGACAGACTGAGAAACATTCATCGTCCGCGCCACAACCGCCTGTGTTGTGCCGATCTGTAGCATGCCAAGGGCACGTAACCTTTCATTTTGGGTAAGCCGACGCATATCAAAATTTGTTTTCTGGTCACTAAAACAATTAAACTGATGTTTCCACCCTGGAATTCAATGCCACAATGACTGTAACATTCAAAGTCAGAGTCGTGCAAATCTTGGGTTGGACCCCCATGATGATCCCAAGCATCACCTGCATTCCATGCGGTAGCTATTGGTGCGTTTGGGCGTCACATGTAACTGGAAATGTTTCTTCTGTTAGGTTCTATAGTGACTTTTTTCGTAGTCATTTGCATATTTTAGTATTATGCCCCCAAAATCAAATATCCCCTACTTTTTTTGAATAGTATAATTTAGTGCACTCATGAAAGGTTACAATCAACAAAATTAAACTAGTATTAGTCACTGCCTATCTAGCTTATTCAAACTCAGTCAAATACACTAAAAAAACTGACTCACCAGTAAAAGTTGTTATGTTAAAAAGAAATAAAAAAAAGCTTAGTAAAGAAAGATCACCATAATGCTACATGCAAGCAGGGTCTAAACACACAGTATAATTACTGGTATGTGACATCAATGATACCTTTTAGAAGCCATGATTCTCTTCACAAAGAACTTCCAAATGAAAATGATACTTTCTCCAGACAAGTCACTGCTGTGAATCAGTGCAAACTATTTGAGACCTATATAAAGTTTGAAACTAGCCTTGACTGCTGTGTTGGTGGGCGGGACCAGGATATTCATGAGTTGTTTTGAGGTCAACATGACTAGTGATCGACAAGAAATGTAATCAACAGCTATTACAACAATAACAACACACTTATCTAAAGCTATTTTTCCATCTATTATTTTATACTATAATCTGTGTATTTGATATGTAACAATACATTCCATTTCTATGTCAAGGGTATACTATGCTTATTTTTTTGTCATGCATTCAATAATAGATCATTTTCACAACATATATCAACAAATATCCATGGCAAGGTATAAGACAGGGATCACAACTTTCCTTTATTCTATTGGTACATATTTCTAATCAAAACAGAACTGTATTATTCTCATTAATATAATATTTTAAAAACTGAAATTATGTTTGAAACAGACCATTAATCATTAGATGAGTATTATGTTATATTCTAGAAAATAATAATAATAGTAACAGTTTGCAGTATGTATTGATTAAAGTACCATGAAGAGTGTTAATGTTAAATTGTTATTGATTTTTCTTCTATTAAAATACACATACCATAATCTAACTCATTATCAAACATCTGTACCACTCTACTATTTTAGGTTTTAAGTTTTATATCATATTTAATCACAGAATTTAGAAGAAGTATAATGCCCATCTCACACAGACATCACTGGAGCAGATCACTCTTAGCATTGGTGGGTCTTAATGAGGTCTATGATTATGAAGATATATTTCTAGAAATGTTAAAACAAATTTTAACTGCTCACTCCTTCATCAATAAACTTTTATTTATGAACTGACTATAATCAACATTCAACAGGTTAAGCTGAGGGGCCATGTCCAGATAACCCTATTCTGCCCACACAACATTCTAGTATGTACTTATTTCATGCCCATATATAAGATATATTCGGATATGTATACAGTATTTATTTCAAATCTTTAAATATCTATTTTAACTTACCAACAAATACAAAACCTGCATTTAATCCTGTTAGTAAATACAGTTTATATTATAATGTCTAAAAATATTCAACCTACTAGTGGCATATAAGTTAGTTAATCACGATCATCTAAGTAATATTGAAGATGGACCTATTTGCAACTGCAAAACTGTTACAATGACATAATTTACTTTCAATCATTGCTTTGATAACCACCTATTTAATCAATACTTAAACATACATTATGCAAGAGCTAAATCTGTCTATTGCAGGTCTTTCTTTAGGCCTGAAATGTTATCTAAATTATTAATTAGACATTAATTAACTTATCCAGACCATAATCAACTCCAGATGGCATCGCTAGCCTGCGATCTTAAGTGGATTGTGAGCCTATTTACTGTATAACTTTTCTTCTCGATTTAACGATTAAATGGATAATCAAGACTGCTGTTTATCGTACTGACTTTAGTAATGATGACCGAGGCTAGGCAGAAATTTCATTCCCTTAGTTCTTGGTTCATAGTGGATCAATTTTAATGAAATTTTCAGTAAATTGCCTTTACGTTATCTAGTTTTTAACCATTATAGTGAGAACTGCCAACTCATTATCGAATCTCCCATAATGTATCTTTAAGTTGGGTTTCTCCTCACTACAATCCAAAATGTAAAATCAGTCAAATTTTGATGCAAACAAAAATCTGTTGAAAAGATGTAATGATCAATCTATAGCACTATTCGAATGTTAAATAACCAAGCAATTACTAGTAAACAAAACAGAAACAATATTCTAATCTATTTTAATTGTATAAATTACATCACTCAATCTCAGGTTATTTCCAATCCAATTTAAATATTGCATGCAATTCAATAACTATAATAAAATTACCGAGTTGGTGACCTACAACAGTACAGAAAATGCAATAATATTATTTTTTTCTTTAACTATGTTGACTTTATATTTCTTATAAAAATAATCAGAAATATATTTTTAATAACTGTAATTAAGTCTTAAAAATCATTGCAATCGCTAAAATTTAATGCAATTTCTATCATAAAGCAAAACTTCTATGGTCTCAAAATGCATTAAAGGGAGACGACCCTGAAAACTTTAATTCAACTAATTTCTTTTCAAACCATTCCAGTACATTTTGTATCTATTACACACAACATAGATTTTTCATAAAAATATTAACCAAAAGGTTTATGTGTAATCATAATATTTCACATAAGTCATGCACTGTTCATACGTACAGCAATATAAAATTTGCTGTATCTTTACTATATATTGTAATTCAAAATTCAGGCACCAATATGCCTTACCGGGAAGAAAAATGTCTGAATGAGACACATTGTACTCTAAAATTATAATTTCTACTTAACTAAGACCATATTCTGATTCACAAGATATTAACACCTTTGTTGTGTTACCAACAACATTTATTAGTCTACTATATTAATCAATTTTAACAATTCTATTATATTTAGTGAATTTAGGCTTTAATAATGCAAAAATTGATCTTGAAAATTGATATCTGTTCGTTTGCAGTTTTCTTAGAAATAACATGAATTAATAAAACATAGTTACCTTGAAGATGTTAAAGATGTGTTAGATAAATCGGCTGAATTAGATAATGACCCCCACTTCTTTAAGTGATTACTTGACTTGTGATGTGGTCGTGGAGAGCTGCTAGATGACCCTCGGTGAGGAACTAAATTAACATTTTCTAAAGCATTTAAATGAGATTTTCTATCTGTGGAAGGATAAGATTTTCTGTTTATTTTATACGGTTTTGTCTTGGAAGGTAAAATATTATTTTGTGAAGCTGAAAAAAAGAGACAAGACATCCATATATTACAACAAATGTAATATATTAAATATTTATAAATTGCTTGTATAAGATGAAAATATAGCAGACTAAGATAGCGTAAATACAGCCGGTCAGTTTAGATAATACACAGAAACTGTTTAGCTAAAGATCTTTTATAATCAAAATTTTTTCTTTTGTTTTAAAATTTAAAGTACTGACTTGTTAAACAGTTATTATTGTGATTCAGCAAAACATGGGAGGTCAAAAGATATTGAACATGCATTGCAGATAATTAATAATGCATCAAGGGTTTGTATTTTGTTATATGACAAATCTTTGACTCAAAACCTGGGGCAGTGCCTCTCTCCTATCGTATTTTGAAAGACACATTACCTTCTAAGACACCCAGTCTACGAATAACATCTGATAAAGCTGTTTTTAAACATATAATTTCATCTTCTTGTTTCCGTACTTTTTTTTCTAAATATGCAACTCTGTCAACTAATTCTTCTTGTTCTTGGCTCAAAAGTCCATCTGCAAAAAAATAGGAAAATAGTGTGAAAACCGAAAAGTTACATCATTCATGCTAATAGGTCTGGTTTTGCTACAAATAGAAAAGATGAAATGTCTGACATGATTTTTTTCTTTTTTCAAGTTAATAATTAAGTGTATGAAGTCAACTACATATATTCTCATTATTTTTAGACTAACCCTTCTCATCCATTGGACTGGATCAAAGAAGCTAATAGCTACGTTGCCAAGTTATAGCTATTTTCCAGACTTATTTGTATTCCTGTAGGCAGAATAATCAGACATGATTTATGATTATTTAATTTAAATCGCAGGTGGAGATCTGTGCTGGGACCTTGCCAAATATAACATTGATTAAGGTTGTGTTATTTTATTCCGTAATTAGCTTTGTCCTACATGTACATACAACCAGCTTTCATGGTATTGTTTTAGAGGAAAGGAATAAATAAAAGTTAAACCTAAAAATCAAGAATTTAGAGTGGTACAACAGACAAGCATGTGCAAAATGTGGCACATTGGATGTTTAGAAGTGGCAGCAGTGGTGCATTGCATCCCTGTGATAATAATAAAGTAAGATAGTAAGCCTACTCATTATTATTAGCAATTTTATTTTTTTGTGCACATCTGTTTAAGATAATGGTTTTTTTTCACATTAATTTGTTTTCATTTAAAAATGTGTGTAAGGAAAAAAACTAGGAAATGTGAACTTTTGTTCTGCCATCATCCCGCTTGTCAAAGGTTGTCCACCCCTGTCTTACACCACCCATTCAGATGCCCACTTGCTGAAACAAATTGCTCTGAAAATTACTCAAATCTGTAAATTTTAAGTAGGTTATACAATAGTAAAAATTTCATAAGTTAGAATCGATTGATTTGAATACTGTCTGGAACAAGATGTTTTTTCAACTTTTGATTGTGTATAATATCAAACTTATTGAAACTTGCAATGTAATAACCCATAGTAATTATCATGCATTATTTAATACATATATTAATTTCATTGATCATGTTTATATGTCAAGATACAACAATTAATCACCATATTAAACAGCGGATTTATTAATCATACAACACAGAGGTCAAATTTCCTTTACAATTAGGCACCAATAACATTTTTCTTGACTGATGATAAATTGGTCTTATAACCTTTAGTCCTTGTTATAAGTTTTAATAAAATATATAACATATAATGTTGTTTCAATGGCATTTAGTAATTGAACTGGAACATACAGGTCACAATTCTATGGAATACAATAATTAATTACTGAGGGACTTTCGACTAGGCTTTTGTAGTCATTATCAAGCAACGATAAAATATGAAATAACAAGACAATATACACATGTACACAACATCACTTGGGCCAATTCAACTTCATTTCAACAAATCTGAATGAGCATCACCAAAGCAACATACCAACCATGAAATTGATAATGTTGTTTCAAAGAGAGAGAGAGAGAAACCGGGTTTAACGTCCACTCAACACAAACTAGGTCATTTCGGGACAAACATATGGTTTAATTTATTTCAATAATTCGCTTGCACGTAGGGGTCTTTTAGCAGTGGGAGGAAACCGGAGGAAACCCACAAGGTTGGACAGGCGACCCTATTCCTTGTCACGTACAACCGTGGATTAGAAACCATGCCAGTTGACACAATGACAGGCTTTATGATACAGCGCGCATGTGCTAACCATCTATATTATGTATTATGTATATTCACATATCTTCTAATGAAGATTTTGAATAAAGATTATTATATTATATCCCATGGGATCTTTTTAAGTGGTAATTTTGTCATCCACAAGTTCAGAAATGCTGTATACCACTGGTTGTACTAGTTGACATTATAGCACCAACTTAGCTCAGTATCAATTTGTAGTTTAATGAGAACACAGAATATATTTCATGCTAATATGTCTATAGTTTATCAATAATTCATAACATTAATCTCTGTAGATTTGATAACTAAAATACCAGATTAAGTATGATATGACTATTATTGATCTCTTTACCAGAATAGTTTCCCATTACTAACTATTTTTTACTCTTATTATTATACGTTCACTCTATGTTAAAATCTAAATCGTTACCAAATGGTGTAGATGCTTTCACAATGAAGAGTTCAATACGAACGAATTAGTCAAACAAGAAATTGGAATAACTGGAAGAATTGCCCATTTCTACCTACCATATTTAAAGGGTTAAACTGATTTATAGCTTTCACACTATAGCTAGCAGCGAAGTAATTTTAGTTATCCAAGTTCACTGTCCCCAATATTTTTGCAAAAGCGAGGAGCTATTAAATTCGGTGTTTCTATGAAATGGATTTTTCTAAAACTTAAAAGTATTTTTGTATTATTACAGTCACTCACATAAGTTCAAACATCAATGCCACCTGTTAATAATTGGCTGAGTATGTAACAAAAGAGTTTGGTTTGTTCATAGAAACTTCGCCACCAATGTTGACACTTCTTTTGAGCCAAAAAATTGATGATATAATGTAGTCTGACTCTGAGAAGATGAATTATAAATGGTCAGATATTCATCCACATAGTTTGACATGAAAATATAAAATGACCAATGTCACAAAGCAAACAGCAGCCACTAACTTCATTTTGTATTTAGTGGTCACATCATGATGTTTATACTTTTAAACTACAGAGAAAAAAACGTCATAATCGATTAACCTTTAGGGCTTTTTTGTTCTTACCCTGATAACTTTTACAAAATTCTGCACAAAATTCACATCTGGTATCAGATCAAACTGAACGATTACAAATGATTAAACTATAACTGATTTACTTTGGTAGTCTGAAAGGGGTATTAGTAGTACTAAATTCTATGGATCTAAAATCCTGTCAATTGCCATTACGTTTTTGTAGTCTGAGAGAAATGGGGTTTAACCCCACTTGACACAAACAAGGTCATTTTGGGACTAACATATGGTTCAATTTTTAAGGACTGGGAGAAAACCCACAAGGTTGGACAGGCGACCCTACTTCTTGTCATGTACAAGCGTAGAATCGAAAACACGCCACTTGACTTAATGACAGACCTTATGATACAACGAGCACGCTATCATATGGCCACTCAACCTCCCTGACTGAAGAAAGGATTATTAGAATAAAAATGCTTAAGCATCAATTGATATTATGTTTTAGGTCGTTTTTTTCTTATGACTGTTTGGTGGTTAAACATTTGCTATACTATAGATCACAGTTCTGTCATCAAATTTGATTTATAGAATACACATAAGGCGTTTTCTCAAGGTTCTCTTTTCTTTCCATTACCAAAGAGCTCTGATTTTAAGCAATATAATTCATAAAATAAAGATCCACAGTAAGCTGGGCTTAAAGATGGGTTCCTGTGTACAAACTGGGTGATTTAATGGTATATATGGACCAAAAACATATTCAAATTAATTAATTTGTCATAATTATGCTTCAAATCCTTCTCAAACATTGTAATTGCGAAGGAATGCCCTGCTATTAAAATTCAAACAAACCAGGTCATGTTTACGTCACGTCTTGGGAGTCAGAGGAGAATTCATTGTTGTATTTAATCGCTTACTATTTATTACAAATATCGAATCCTAATTATATTCTCGGATTATCCACTACCTGCGTCTTTTTCCATCATTTTTATCTCAGAAAGTATTGTACGTCTAACTCTTCATAAAGTTTATCAACTTGTACATCAAGCGCTCAATGTTCGCTTGTGACCTTTGACATCACGCGTGCAGAAGTTCCTAATCGTCGGGCTGTTGATTAGGGGAACCCTTACATTTTTGTCATGTATACGCTCCATGAGTGTTTTTCTGGGAATCCAGTATTTTTCTAGTAAGATTGGATATCTCTACTTTCCATATATACCAAAATTGCCATACTTTTATTGGAAATAACCACCCGATAAATACTTTTCTGGGAACCCATCTTTAAAATGAACCACAAGTAGTTGTGTTGAGTGGTAATTTTTAGGTCCACATTTTACAGTCAATGTTGAGATTTTGTGTTCCACTGTCAAGAATCAAACTAAAATTACGGTAGTAAAAAAAGTTCTGCTTAATAATATATGAAAAAATGTATATGTATAGATTTTATCCCACAACAAATTGAAATAACTCAATTCAACACTTTATTTTGACCTAAATCAAAGAGGTTTTGCAATTAAATACAAATGAATCTTTTGGAACCAGTTAATAAACATGTAGTAATTAGGCTAACATAAAATTGTTCTATTTTTATATTCAGTACTAGCTATAGGACTGTGACTATACCTCCAACAAACACATTCACAATGGCCATGCCAGAAATTTCAAATGGCAAAAGAATTAACCATCTTGAATTGAACTTACCGGTAGAAAGAATGTCAGATACTGATGTACCATTATTTACAACTAAAGACTCCTCACTCTCTCTTTCTATGTCAGCCATATTATTTTTGACACTGACAGTTTCCCAGACACAAACAAATGCAAAAGATTTGTGCAGTTAGTTTATCCACCTTAGAACTAATCTAAGAACAATCCTATCACAAAACCATCTAATCTCCTCCAAATAAACAAGAAAACTGTCCTGCTAATCCTACAAATTCCTCTTTAGAAGCTGTGTAATTATACAGTCAATGATTACCGTCTGCTCTCCTATATACTTGGTACTACACACAGTGGTAATAAGCTGGCATTGATCAATACCACTTCATCAACCTGCTCTGTTCTACATTTATACAGAATGTCAAATACACCTTCATATCAGTACCTTTTTGTTTCCAGGAGGTTATTTTTATTACAAACAAAATTCTAGTTTACGCTACCCAAAGATTAAACACATTTTGACACATTCATTACTCCGGATGTTTGTAATCGATAATTATTGTTTAAAACACTATTAACCTATTGACTTTATTCTACCATGGTATTACTTTCGGGCATTTAGCAATCTGATTAAAATCAGATGTTAATTAAGGTTATTACATTTTGTTTTAGGAACTGAGTATTCCTTAAT